TGGAAGGTGAAATCTTCCATCATCTTCAGTCATATACTGTTTAGAAAATTGTTTTATATTCTGGTTTCATTTTTTTTTTTGCATCACAAAAACCTGCAATTTTTACAGTGGTGTGTAGACCTTTTATATCCCTTGTACACCTAGATATGCTCTTGTGCATATTATGCCAAAAACTAAGTGACTTGGTACTTACTGCAAGTACCCAATGTATCTTCACTATGGCTCCTGGAACCTACTCACAGAGTGCCTACTGGGTCAAAAATGGTTCCAAATGAGAGGGAGTCCTGGCCATTATCCGGGATTCACATTGCCACAGTTACATTTATAACTAGCATTCCATTTTATCCCTTCTAATCACCAGAGGCAGTATTCAACACCTGCATACCCCATGCCACAAGGTCGTGGTGATTGGGAAGGTGTGCAGAGAGGGTCACTGCACTCACTTCCTCAGGAGGGGTGATTTTGGCCTTATAGAACCTGGAGAAAGTACATGGTGGCACCCAGGTAGCTGCACTCCTGATATCCTGGGATACTACAGGGCTTAATACGCACGAGGGTGAAACACCAGCCTGTTTGTAGGCTATGATGGCGACTTCTGTCACCCAGTAGGCCAGTCTCTGCTTAGATAGGGGAGCACCCTGTCACTCTGTGACAGATGTGTAATTGTTCCAATAAATGAACAGGCAGGCTGTGATCAGTAGGCCATGAGGATGTGGGCAAATGCATCTTGTCCAGAGGGACATTTGGCTCCAGCAGGGAGCACCATGTTTGAGAATGACTCGACTAGTAACGTTGACTAGTAACGACTAGCATCTGTAACGGTGATGCACGTGTGCCTGACCAAATTTTTTATACTTTCTGCACCACCTCTGGGTTCAAGAGCCTCTCTCCTTGGCATATGCTTGTTCAATGCCTCAGTGTGCTCATTGTGCTGACCTGGAGGTAAGTTGTTCTCAGTGGGGCTAGCGGTCAGTGAACCGACTTGAGGAGCTTCTGTGTAGGGTGGGGAGGGTTTTTGACCTTGTCCTGCCCAGGTGATTTATATATCTCTCTGAAGGGATCAGGACATGACTGTGTCTCAGAACAGGTAGGAGGAGCCACAGGGTCAGCCAGGCCACCCTCAGCTCCAGCAGGTCAAATGTGTGCAAAATGTGTGCAAGATGCATGCTGGAAAAGGGAATATTCTACAGACTGTCCATTGAAGAATGCTGCAAGGTCAATCAACCGGTTCACAAACTCGGGTGACCAGACCACTACAGAGTTATCAGGCTACTTATTAATCTTATTGCCAAGGTATGCAATTCTCCCACTCTTCTTGCCAAAGTGGTTACCATCCTAAGCTCTAGTGCTTAGGATCATTTCATGGACTGCTACATCGTAGTCCTCAGCTGTTTACTGCTCAAAATCTGCCACGTAGCTGTCAATGTAATCCTTGCATTGTGGTACAACAAAGTTGGCGGCGAGTGGGAGAGCACATCCGGTTTTAACAGTTGAAACACTGTGTCTAACCCTGTTTGGGCCAGCCCCATTTGAGGGTGACCGTCACGGGTGGCCTAAAACCTGACGGTTGCATCTGTCGACTGGTGTGGGCTGACTGACCACTCATTTGACCAGCCTTAAAATGAGTGATTTTACTGTGCTATATCTAACATCAAGCTAGCTACACACTTGGAGAGAATCCCAAAGCATTTCTAGGCTTGGGTTTGCTGGATTGAACATTTGCAGTTAGTCACCTGATTAGATTAATACAGAGCTGATGGGCACACAGCTAGTGGCTATTCTTGGACTCCAAGAAATTTGAGCACTATCTGCACAAGAGCATCGTGGTACAGGCTGATGATACGGAGGCCAGTGGGTGGCAATAGTGACTGAGTACTTACATTAAGTACTAGGCCATTGTCAATGCATGACCTTGCTGAAGTTCTTGGCATAATGCACAATGTGCACAAGATCTTATCCAGGTGTTAAACAATGCCCCTGGTGGTTAGGAGGAGTGAAAGCCTCAATCCACCCCATCAGGTCAGTATGATCCAGAAAGGAAACTTGCATTTCTTCTGTCTTTCTTCTAGCCACATTTTCAATTAGTGCCTCTGATTAGCTTGTTGCTCAGCAGGCTGTTCACCCCTGACACCCCCCCCCCAGAACTATTTCCTAAGATTAATAGAAGAAAGGTTATTTCAGTTGTTTATTCATCTTCAGTTCCTGGTAATGGTCCCAGGAACACTGAGGGCTAGGTGGGAATATATGTAGCTAATGAGAATGCAAAGACAGTACATAGTGAATACAGATTCTTCTTAACTACTCTTTCTGCAGGTTCATTAATGATTTGTAAAATGATTAACACTGTAACTGCACTCTTGATGCACTGTCTGGACACAAAACATACAAATAATCCCTCATTAGTAACTGCTTGTAATTGTACACCTTATTAGAAATACCTGTACAACTGCAGTTGTCTAATCAGCCACTCTGTCACTTTGATCTTGGCATGGATGTTGGTACGAAATGGGCTGGTTCGAGTATTTTAGGAACTACTGCTCTCCTGGGAATTTCAAACACACTCTAGAGTTTGCACAGAATGGTGCAAAAACAATGAGTGAGTGACAGTTCTCCGGGTGGGAATGCCTTGTTGATAGGAGAGGACAGAGGAAAATGGCCAGATTGGTTCAAGCTGCCAGGAAAGATACAGCAACTCAAATAATCCCTCTTTACAACTCTAGTGAGCAGAAAAGCATCTCAGCATGCACAAAACATTGAACCTGGAGGTGGATGGGCAACAACAGCAGAAGACCACACTGGGTCCCAATCCTGTCAGCCAAGAACAAGGAATCTGAGGCTATCATGGGCACAGTCTCATCGAAACTGGACAGTTGAAGATTAGAAGGGGAAAAAAAAAACAACAAAAAAAAAAAACATAACCTGGTCTTTTTCAAGTCTTCAGTTGTCCAATTTTGGTGAGTCTGTGCCCATGATTGCCTCAGGTTCTTGTCATAGCCCATCCACCTCAAGGTTTGATGTGTTGTGTGTTCTGAGATGCTTTTCTGAAGACTATGGTTGTAAAGCGTGCATATTTGAGTTACTATAGACTTCCTGTCAGTTCAAACCAGTCTGGTCATTCACATCTGAAGTATTTCCATATCTCTGACATTACTACTTAATATAATACGAGTGCGGAATGAGGTGCGGAGGTGATTCAGCCGCTGCCTGAGTAACTGACCTGCAGGCTCTAAGAAGAGGAGCAGATGGAGGGAACAGCTCTGACAGCGTGGTGTAACAGGGAATGGCCACTGCATTGTAAAAACCCACCTACAAGCAAAGACACATCACATAGCTGCAAGACAAAAGTGTAACAAGTGTCTGTATATCAAATAATTTTCCACATTACGTCGGACATTTAAACTTTAGAATAAGGCATTTAAAAAGTTCTAAAGCAGTGTCCCTTTATCAGGTGCAGGTACCTGTCCCTGGGGAACCTCATCCTTCTTATCCCTGTCCATCATCGGAATGGGCTGCATTCCTATCTTCTTCATCTCATCCCCCTGATGAAGAGATGATATACGTTTCGCGCTCCTTTTATTTCCTAAGTGTTTCCTGTTTAACCAAACTGAAACTGCCTGAATATGAATTTACATAAAGTGTTCTTTACATTTTAACATGAATCAGTAATAAAGCTTACCTCAGCCCAGAACTCTGCATAGATGTCATTGGCTGTGAGGCGAGTGACAGGCCACAGTTTGGTAACAGAGCAGAGATCACACGCAGTCATCATCAGGCCAATTACACGGTCCCTGCCGTGGACGAGCAATTATGACATTGATCAGCCTGATACTAGACTCATGAATGTCACCTTACACCCTTCTGACATGTGCATAGGTGTGACTGCATGACCTCTGACCTGTGGGCGTGGTTGTTCAGGTCCAGCGCGCCTGTGCCCAGCAGATCAGCAAGCTGCTTGCGGTTGCCAAAGTAGAGTGCCAGGTCAGTGGCAATGATGGCTTTGCGGATGATCTCTAGCACCTGCTCGTACTCGCTGGAAGTCAGGTTGGAGAAAATATTGTGCCCTTCCAGCTATGGGAAACAAAGAGATCAATAAAAAAGCAAAAGCTCCACTTAGGAGGCATATGGCTCAGCTGGGGTTGGGTGGGGTGGTGGTCTGGGGGCAGCAGAAAATAAAAAAAATAAATTAATTAAAAAAAAAGGTCCCAAGATTGAGCAAGTGAGATGGAGGTTTACATAAGCAAATGTGAATAAGCAACTGGAAATTGGGAAAATAACAGGGAAAAGGCAGTTTACATTTACATTTTTACATTACATTTTTTTTTTAAAAACAATCAATTATTGAATTATCTGGATTCATATACTCTGTGTAGCCTACAGTGTCAGTCCTAGGTTTAGTGTGATTTTTCTGCTATAATGCACACTTAGAAAGCGCTTGATAATTACCTAAACACAAGAATCAACTGTGACCACTGCCTGTCCGCATCAGACACCAGTGTGTTACAGTAGACATTCCATATATCTACCTACTAATACAGAAACATTGTCCTTAACTGTTTACTAGTATGAGAAAATAAGCTCCTCTCTGATCATTTCACATTTTTCCCTCTTCATTCAAGCATGTGGTAATCCTGCTCAGACACCCTTAGGTGTTTTGTTAGGAAAACTCTCTCACCTCAAACAGTATACACCATTACTGTGAAAGGATCAAAGAGGGATTACTTTCTTTGCTGGGGTGAGGAGGGATCTAGCACTTTTCCACTGGACAGTGCGGCATGGCTCGGGAAATTATCCATATTCCACCATGTTGTCACTATTTTCAAGTGGGCTGTGCTGTACTTAGATGCAAGCCAACCAGGACCGATTGGTCAAACACAGTCACAGACGTCCTATTAATTTCTCTCTATCAGCACAAAAATCTTTTAAAAAGTCCTTTTTTTCTGGCCAGCAATTTAGTGTTTCAGATCCATTTTTATTTATTTACCCATCGTAACATTTAATTGTCCCTGGAGGACTAGTGGTTAGACCATAGCACTCTCACTACTGCAGCCCGGGTTCGATTCCTGGCCAGGGAACCGACCCCAGCCACTGGAGTTGCATGCGAGAGTGTGCTCTCGGCGCCGGTCCCAAGCCCGGATAAAACTGGGGAGGGTTGCGTCAAGAAGGGCATCTGGCGTAAAAACTGCCAAATCAAAGTTTGCTCCTCATTATTATCACTAAAGTAAAGTTATAGTATTATCATATTCACACTCTGCCACTAAAACAAACTGGCTATGTCTTGTGCTTATGAGAGAAGCTCAGGAGGGCCAAACTGAATCAGATATGCCTGATTTCATTTCAAAATAATTATTTGAATTTTGAGCAGTATTTTACTACTTGTGCCCATCAAGTCACTACCTGATCATTTCCAAGGAAACTTCCTCCTTTCATGAAGAGAGTTATGCAATGGGAAAGTGACACACCCTTGGCCAAGGTACAGTCAGCCCTGAGTTTCCCTGTTGCTGAACAGTGGTGAGTGGTGCTGTTTGGTTGAGAAGTGCTAATATAGTGGTGATGAAGTCAGGAATAGGACACAGCTCACCAGGAAAGAAGCCAAGAGTGTGTAGAGCTCTACCTGTAGGATAGACACTGTCTGGGAGAAATGATGCTGTTCCATGGTGGAGGTGGAATACAGCGCCGCCAACGGGTGGTCAAACTTCTGCAGGTAGCTGTTGCTGTAGCCTCGGTGGTCCAAGTCATGACACAAGCAGGCTATAAGCAGACCTTTCCTCTGGGTGAATGCAGAAAGAGAGAAACAGGGGAAGACAACATGAGATGGCATGTAAGAAAACATTTTTTTGGGGGGAAAAAAGTTTGGGGATGCTCTGACCTCCAGTTCAGTGAAGATTCCAGAAGTTTTCTGGAGAATGACGTACATGCAGTGGGCCACAGTCACCGCATGCTTCCAGTTGTGGTATGGAACCCGTCGGTAATTCTTTCGCACGGACATGGTGAATCGACACAGCTTCTCCAGCTCAAAACTTTACACACACACACAAACAACCAGTTTAGAAACTTTCACAAACACCTCATCATTCTATATGTGCCACATAACACTGAGCAGGCAAGGATAAATAAACAAGTTGAACCTGTATTGAATTGGTCCATAGCCATTTTCACACATGTACTTTCACAAAGTATGATGGACGTTGAGCCGTGGGTCTAATATTTGTGAAATATTGTGTACTGGGAAACTGAACAGCGTTTCAATAACTACTCATGCTACAATGCGTAAAGACTTTAGGAGGTGGTTCTTTGGTGAAGTGACAATAGAAAGCAAAGCATACAAGCCATAAAGAACCACTGTCTGAAAAAAAAAAAAGCCTGTAAATTTGAGAAACTCAGAAATTGAGGAAGTGTTAGTCATTCATACTAAGGACAAAACTCTACATCCTTAGTGGTTAATGCTACAGTACAGGCTGCATCATTTTTAAGTGAATCACTTCAACACTGTGGCATAAGTACAAGTGATTAACAAATGAAACAAGTTCCAATGTGTCGAAACATTAATTCCATTTATCTATATCATTTCCTGTGTAATCAGACTTTTATGGGATCTAGTGTTTAAAGGCTGTAAGTGCAAATGACATAAAATCTGAATATTATCTGTAAAGGCTGACGAAGCGTCACGGGTTGCGAGTGTGAAAACAGGTTTGTAATGATTTTTTTTTCCTGAGACATGTCATTGTCATTTACCATCTGTCTTTGATCCTGCACTGAGGTCTTAGAAGTTAAGAGGTGTGAAGTGTTGCACTCACCTGTTTTTCCCACATGAACTGTGAACCATATACACAAAGACCGCAGGCCAGAGTTCCTCATAGGGGCTAATGTCAAAGTGGAACCTATGAAGACAGAGAGTGCATGAACTGCCTATGTTCATATGAATATAATAATCTTTTCAGAAAAATCTGTGTGTAATTTTTTTCCCCAGGTGTAATCATTTCCCAGTCTCCCCCATTAAAACAATGTGATGAATGAGTGTGAAGCCTGTCACCTAGACACAAACCTGAGACAGCTGCTGTTCATCACTCTATTACTTTACAGTGCGTCGCCCCAGGGGATTTGGAAGTGATTTTAAAATTTGATTTCTAATTTGTTTTCTAATTTTATGTATGTTACATCAGTTTTATGTGTGAATCTACTGCTAGCATAGTGTACATCGGCCTGTATGCCCACTGAAATGTGAGTTATTTTAGAGGGAGAGAAATTAAACTGGAAAAAAAAGATGACAGTCAATATTTTTGTTATACTGTTGCTCACATGGGAAAAAAAAAAAAAAAAAAAAAACTGAAATGGAAACATTAAAATCTATTTGTATTTGTTAATGTTTTTTCATGTATTTAATGCTTTAATTGTTAATGTTTTATATTAACTCTGACTGTAGTGTTGGCTGCAGCACAAATCACAGCGCCATATTAATGCATTTGTTCTAATATGTATCGTCTCTAACTGCCAGTTCACGGGGAATTGTTTGGCCAATGCTCCACATAATCTAAATCTAATAATACCAGCTGCTGTGATTTAAAAAAGAGAAACGTATAACTGTTGATATGGTGAAGCTTTCTGTAAGGATACATTTCTATAACATTTATAGAAGGAGTCTCCATTGTCAGTGCTTTGTAACAGTCAATAAGTGTTCTGCCCAAGAAAGTCTTCAGGACAGAGGACTTTGTGCTCTCTGGTTTCTCAGTAGCATGACAAGCTGTGTTTGTCCTATTAACTTCAAGAGATGGCAAAAAAGAGAAGCTGTGAGGGTATGACTGTTTATCGCTGCTATAACAAATGATAACAGGAGCTAATTGTTTTGCGGATATTCCATAACGCCAACCCGTTGTCCACTTTTTTCTCCTACAACAGTATGCCCCTGTAGTGTTTTAGTCCTCTAACATCCAACTTGGTTACATTATTCTTCATTTTCTCAGGCTACCTACCATATAGGTCATTTTCTAAGTATACCTTTAGTATACAAAAAGTCTAATCGTGAACAGCCAGGTTAATTGTGAATTTAAAAAAAAAGAAAGGTTAAACTTACATTACACCAATAAGTTGTACTAACAAGGTAGGCAAGTCTAAGTGTCCAATAAGAATACACAGTGCTACTGGGCACTCCAGTGTATACTCACAGTTCAATCTCTTTGTAAATGGGGGTAGGAAGGGAGAGCTGTGTGAGGGTCTTCCACTCCTCAGATGTGCAGATGCTGTGGTATGAAAGTTTCTCCATAGTCACCCTGTAGATGCACTCCGAATGTCTGATCCGGTGATACATCTATACACACACACACACACACACACACACACACACACACAGGACATATTCAGAACATCTGAAACATATCTGAAACATATTATTCATTCATTAGTCATTATTTGGACTGAACACATTATGTTTCTAAATGGATACAAATATAGATTTGAATAGAAATCAGCCTTTTTTTTTTTTTTTTGGCCAGAAAGGTTCACAGGGCATCACGATTGAAACTAGACTTGTCACATAGGTGGGAGGTTTCTGCATTTATGTGGGTGAGTGGTCAGATATGAAGCTTGCATGACAGAAACAGAAACAACTAATAATGTCAGGGCAAGTATTATAAACAATACTAATAACTACAAGAGGGGAATTTTTACAAACACACACAAAATGAATAAACAAACAAAACCCTTCTGGTTTAGGTCATGCCCACTTCGGCTTTAAATCCGAATACAGATACGAATATTTGGAGCATAAAATAGATTGTGGCATTGCTTTAGACCCGTTAAGATACACACAGACCGTCAAACATTCCAGTGGGTGATGGTTCCTCCACAGATATTCGCAGAAACATACACTTTGTGGAAATCTATTGTTAAAAGTGTTATACAAATAAAACAGCATTGAACCCCAGCAGTTGTGGCTCAGCGTCTGCCAAATAAATACACACGTAAAATTCACACCCAGAAATCACCACACAGCTGTGCCATTGCTGACTGTTTCAGCAGTGGGTATGGTGGTCTTTACTTATTGTTTTTCCTCAGCAACTGTTTAGCCACTAAACCTGATGCCTGTCAGAAGAAAAAAAAAAAAAACCCTGAAGCCAAAACTAAACCACATTTGCCAAACCCAACAATTGCTACTCTGTACACAAGACTAAATACCATTTCTCTTTATACACATTCACTGTGGCCGAGTCTGTTTGTCTTCTGACTGTGTTTATCAGTCAAAAGTAAGACGAGGCTTCAAGGGTTTAAAAAAAATATTGCGCAACTTAGTCAAAGAGCCTTTTGAGTAAGCTGTGTGTTTGTGGAATATAAGAAAAGCCTTTAACAGTTGGGAAACAAACTGCTATAATGATTTTTTTGTTGTCCCCAAAATTCACAACAACTCATGATAAATGTCTTACTGATGATAATTCAATGCCACTCCTTAAAAAAAAAAAAAAACAAGTGCCACAGCACCTTAGACATGCACAGAAATACAGACACTGTGGAAATCAGTCAGTGGTGGCTGGAGGAATCGTGTCTAAATCAGAATCAAACAGCAAAAGTGTTTGTGGTCATTAAGCTTGTTAATTTACAAATGCCATCTGCAGGAATTTAACTCTGGAGAGTGACTCGTAACCTCTCTGAGCGGTTTAGGTAAACACACTGGTCCGTTACTCACATTTGCACAGTGTAAGGCCAGAGCACAAAAGACAGCAAACATCTTAAAGTTGTTCTCATCAGTTTTAGTGAAGGCACTTCCGTTCAGCTTGTTCACCATCTGTACGACGCCTATTACGGTCCCCCGGCTGACGATGGGCATGCACAGGATGTTCCGTGTCGTGTAGCCTGTATACAGGTCCACTTCTCTGTGACGAGTGGGAGACAGGAGGAGGACGAACCAAAGAAATCACATTTAATCAGGTATATAAAGCATTTGTGTTATATACACCTGTAACTTCAGAGATAGCGGTCTAAACATAATGCATCAAATAGAAGTCACGCATGAGATAACGAAAAATTGTTCCATAATCTAAGAGAGGTGCCATTAAACTGTAAATAAACTGGTTCTTTTAATAGT